GGGTGTGTGATGCAAGCTTGGCACTGGGACACCTCTTCACAAAAAGACATGATTTTATTTCATAGAGCCGGAACCTCAATTCATGACTGATACCAGATGAGAGACTCATGGGCACACAGAAGGTTGGGTGACTTGGAAGGCACTGAACAGACTGCTCTCTTGCACCCCAAGATGCAGAGCCAAACTTAAGAAACGGGGCTGTAAAATGGAGCTCACAACATGCAAGTGCAGAGAAGAGCAAACCACAGACCACCTACTCCAATGCAGTATGAGCCCTGCCACTTGCACAATGGAGAAGCTTCTCACAGCGACACCAGAGGTACTCCAAGTGGCCAGTTTCTGGTTGAAGGACATTTAGAATAATGCCAAGTTTTTAACTTTGTTTGTGTTTTTAAGTACATTATAACTGTACCCTCAATTTGCTTCTGACATCATAAATAAATATATTTCATAGAACTCATTTTTCTGAAGATGGAGAGTAATTTTAAGCTGTCCAAAAACTTATTATAGGTAAATTCATATTACATTTCTAATTATTACAGCCTGACAATATCCTCTGCCCAGATGAGCCAGAAGATATACTTGTACACAGAATTATGATCTGGAGTTATCCCAAAATGTTTGGGGAGTAGACATATCTTGTTACTAATTCATAGATATTTTATTATTTTATTATTGACTAGTACAGATCCGCTCTCTTGAAAAAATTTTGCATTCACAGAAGGGTGCTTTATGATTATATAGCTCAGAACAAATACCCCTAATTTTACTTGCAAAACGTAATGGGAGTCTTGACATATCTCTAGTCAAGATGATATGCTAGGCCATTATATTGTTTTTTCATTTAAGACAGTGGTTCTCAACATGTGGGTCCCCAGATGTTTTGGCCTTCAACTCCCAGAAATCCTAACAGCTGGTAAACTGGCTGGGATTTCTGGGAGTTGTAGGCCAAAACATCTGGGGACCACAGGTGGAGAACCACTGATTTAAGATGTATTTTATTTGTTGTGGTTATGTTAATAATTTTTTATTATTTTGACTGCAATTTTAATTTTGCATCAACAAAGCTTAGCATACCAGGACCTATATAAAATTCAGCTTCTTATCAACCTACTGACTGATCTTTTGTGGAGGAAAGGAATAGGAAACTAGTAACCAAGTTCAGCTTTGTCTAATACAATAATTTAACATTTATTATTATTATTATTATTATTATTATTATTATTATTATTATTATTCACTGCAGTGCCATGAGGCTAAACCAGGCATAAGCAAATATCAGCACTTACAGGTATTTTGGTCTCCAAATCCCAAAATTCCTAACAGCCAATAAGTTAGCTGGGATTTCTGGGAGCTGAAGTTCAAAACACCTAGAGGACTGAAGTTTGTCTATGCCTGGGCTAAATAGATCAGTAGAGCTTGACTAGGTGTCAGCTGACTCCAACTGGGAAGTTTCCAGTGAGTTATCATCATTAGCAATAACAGTCCTATCATTTGCATCCCAGTTTCTCCCTGCTGGATCCCCCTTCCACCCCATATCCTGCTCTTTCAGGTTTACTCACTTAAAAAGCAGATCACCTTTGTGTCCAAAGTTCTCTAAGGTATATAACAGATAAAGACACAATCTCAACAATTAAAATTGCTCTTCTTTTCATCTCCATACAAATGATTTTTTTCTCCTGCAGAAGGAAATTATTTTTGGAGCACACACCTCTTTTATGTCCCTAATGTTAAACAGGGAAAACTTCTGTTAGGTACTACAGCTGACAGGAGTACATAAATTAACTGATCCCTGAACGGCTGGGAACAAAAGAATCCACACAGTCTATCAGATTTAAAAGGTTTATAAAACATTTACTGTATATACTCAAGTATAAGTCGAGTTTTTCAGCCCATATACTTGAGTCAAGGTTATTTATTATTTTACGCTGCTGTTGTTGTTGTGTATATTATTTTACTCTATTTATTATTATTACATTTACATTATTTTACTCTATTATTTTTATTACATTTATGATTTAACTCTATTTATTATTACTATTATGTTTATTATTTTACTCTATTTTTATGACTTTATTCTAATTATTAATGTTATTATTACATTTATTATTTTACTTTATTATTACATTTATTATTTTACTCTATTATTATTATTACATTTATTATTTTACTCTACCATTACTATTATTACATTTCCATTATTTTACTCTATTATTTATTTATTTATTTATTATTACATTTATTATTTTACTCTATTATTGGAAGGATTTGTAAGCACATTTACATTGAAGAAAGTTACAATAATCAGAGTTGGCCAATCTTATCTTAAATTACAATTTTATATAAATATTCAAAACAACTGATGCCCCAATTAATGTAATTTTATTGGTATCTATTTTTTATTTTGAAATGTACCAGTAGCTGCTGTATTTTCCAACCTTGGCTGATACCCGAGTCAATATGTTTTCCCAGTTTTTTGTGGTAAAATTAGGTGCCCTGGCTTATATTTGGGTTGGCTTATACTCGAGTATATATGGTATTTATGAAACAGTCATGGTTCCCCACTCCTATCTTTTTAAACCGATGTATTCAGGGTACTTTGCCATTTGCCTGCTAATTTGCTTATGTCCAGGGTCCCTTTATCTCATTCTGGCCACCCATGCATCCAACTTGTGATTACAGTAAAATTAAAACAGGATTACATTACACTGACCATAAAGTATCCAACAAACATTGTGCGACTGAATATGACAAGTAAACTGTTATATTTCCACAAGGACTGACTCTTTATCGTGTGCTGATCTTTAGCAGACTTATCCACTAAGGAATACTATAAATCTCTAAACTAGCATGCATGGCTATCATGAGACATGACAGCCATGTTTAAATATGTGAAAGGATGTCATAAGGAAGAGGGAGCAGGCTTGTTTTCTGCTGCCCTAAAGAATAGGATTTGGAGCAATGGGTACAAATTACAGGAAAGGAGATTCCATCTAAGCATTAGGAAGAACTTCCTGATTATAAAAGATGTTCAACTCTCTGCCAAGGACTGTCATGGAAGCACCTTTTTTGGAAGTTTTAAACAGAGGCTGGATGGCCATCTGTCAGGGGGTGATTTGATTGTGTTTTCCATGCATTGCAGGGGGATTGGACTGGATGGTCCTTGTGGTCTCTTCCAACTCTGTGATTCTAAGGAGTCAATATCCATGGATACTGCCAAAACTAACTGCATCAATTTCTGTATCTATTAAAATGGGAAATATGTCTATTTATCATAGTTTAGTTGAGAGCAAAAATCTAGTTCCATTGGCAGATTGATTATCTTAGAATATTAGCTGTTATTAACAATATTCTTCCTGCAGTCAAAGCTGCAAGGCAGTTTGATTTCTACCTCCTCTCTGCTTGTTTTCTATCTTTCCTAGCCTATCACCTGACATATCTAGTCCAAGCAAAACAAAGAGAGAGGTGATTGTACTTGGTTTAATTAAACAACCACTCTCCTCTTCCAAGGTGATGTGACACCAGGTCCACTCTGTTCTAGGCTGTCTTTTATCAGATTGTCTCAGCCAGGGAATTACATAAGGCATTCTCTGTACCATGGCACCTACTAAGAGTTCGTTATCACTCCAGTTTGGTTGCCATTCTCATATTTTGTTTACAACTGGGTTAGCTTGATGTCAGGAACCAAGCTGTCTCTAGGCTTTCTGGATTATGCATTTTTCTGTTTAATATGCTTTAATAGTTTAATTTATAGTTATATGTTACTGTTGCTTTTATGCTAGATTTTTATATGTATGTTAGGGATATTTTGCCATGAATGTGTTGGAAACTGCTTTGAGTCCCATCCCCCCGGGGGTGAGAAAAGCAATATAAAAATAAAGTAAATAAATAAATTGGTAATGCGAACTGTACAATACACACAGTTTTCTGTATTATGCATATTTTGCAGATCTTATATGTCTTATGTATGCATTATTTCCACTTCCTGGGGTTTAAACTTTGCAAACTTTAATCCAGATCAGTGCACAGTTTGTATAATTTAGACTTTTAAAGGGAACCAATTTACATATCCCGAGACCTGCCTGGTGGGACATCCCTTCATTCCTAATCTTGGGTTGAATTCTCTGGTTGAGAAATGTCTGGAAAGAGCGTGTTATAAAAATATGGGGTTAATATATGACTAATATGTAAGGCAATCCTGTCTTTCCAAAGGACTTGTAAACATACAAATGAGATTTCTCATATACATAATGACAAATGTGAGCTGAATACATTTGCTAATCCCAGCTATATTTATACTACTGAATAAGTGGTAATTTGCTGACTGTGTGCTTGTGTACACTCTAATGACTTTACAAGTCCACTATATTTGGGAATAGCAATTGGTCTCAGTCCTCTAATTGCAAAACCCCCAACTTCACAAAGGCAGGCTAGTATCAGAAGTGAAAACGAATATTATGAGGGCTTACAGGTAGAAGACACTTTCCTTTTCTGAACACACTGTAAATGATGCAAAAGAATAGAAAATATGGTCAGAATCATACATATGTCACATTGCCTTGGATTCCAAACAACTTTCCAGTCGTCTTACAATTTTACAGAACATATTCCCAGAATCTGAGTGGAAAAAAAACCCTTTATTTCTTTTGAATTTTACTGGTAATAAGAAGGAGAAATGAATACTGAAATTTAGCCTTCTGTCAAGACAGTCAATCCCCTTCCAAACAGCTGAATAAAATCACACATTATCTGCTTTGAACTGTAATATATGAAAGTGTGGACTCAGATAACCCAGTTCAGAGATATTGTGGGAATTTCTGCCTTGATATTCTCGGTTATATGGCTGTGTGGAAGTGATACATGATTTAATTTAACCCAGGTTAGGACCACTGGCAAACCTGGCAACATGCATTTGAACCTGGATACAAGAGTCAAGGCTGAATTAGGACCATTTTGTTCTGGTGAAAAGCAAAGAGATAATAAAATATTATTCCACTCACCTGTCACCTGTACTGTGAAGTTCCTGAGCATTTCAATAGAGTGCCTTGGCTTACAACTGTACAGGCCAGAATCATCATAGGACACATTGATAATCCTCAACAATTTTTGGTCAATATGAGTTCGATTTGTAGGTGAAATCCCGATCCCATCTTTATACCAGAAGATAGACACAGATGAGCTTGGAGCATTACACAGGAGTTCAAGGGTGTCGCCACTTCCAACCACCAATTCTTCAAGGAAGTCAGTTTTGCTCCTTAAATAAGCTGTGTGAGAGAAGTGTATTGAAAAAGATAGCATCAAGTTATTGACCACCAAGAATATACTACTGTGATATGCAGCAACACCAAAAATGTTTGTATGAAAATATAATCACAATATGGCCTTTAGCTGAGCGGACAGATGGATGCATTGGCTAATTCCATCTCTCCTGACTGTTCCAGGAGTTTTCCACAACCTCCTTTTCCTTTGCAAGCAGACAGGGAGCCTTTCTGCTTTTCTTACTCTCTGCTACCTTCTTTCCTAGGCAAAAAAGGTTGCAGCACCACCACTTCCCACACTTATGTGCTTTGTGACTGCTTTTCATGATTGCTCCATCATTTCATTTGTCTGCTTCCTTCTCTACCAGAAATCTGACTTCATATCAGCGTTGAACTGTGGAATGTGCCAATCAATAATGAAAATTATTCCTGTGAATGTAAAATTGTCTTTCTCTCATTATTAGGTAACTATGGCTATTTTCACGAATTCTGGAACCCTATAGCACCATCGTCCCCAAAGGATTTCATTTGACAACAAAGGGTAATCAGAAGCACAAAAAAGCTGCTTCCTACTAATTGAGAAATGTCTCTCTCTCTCTCTCTCTCTCTCTCACACACACACACACACATATGTGTGTGTGTGTGTGTAGTGTGTATATATATATATAAATATATATGCGCGCGCACACACACACACACACACACCCCACATACATACATACATACATACACACACACACACACGTGTATATGTCGACCACATGTATAAGTCGAGGACAGGTTTGGGGACCAAATTTATGGATTTTGGTATGATCCATGGATAAGTCGAGAGTTATTCTGTGAAGAGGGAAAATTGCTAGTGTTGCCTCAGCAGGCAGCTAGCTGCCCCTAGCCACCACTGGTGCCACTACTATTTTCCCACCCAGGCACTCCCCACCCCACTCAGGGAAGAGGATGCTTCCTCTTTTTCATATATACATATGAAAGTTGAGGTACAGTATTACCACTTTATAAACAAAGGAAGTATTTGATTACTTTCCTCAAATTCTATTGCAAGTGATGTCTTCTCTTGGGAAATCCCTAGACCCAGGAGGAAGTAGCCCCTAACAATAAATAAATTATTGATTTATTGTGTCATTCATAGAGCATAACCTCAGGACTCAGTTCCTCCTGCTTAACATTTCCCCTCTTACAAAGGAAAAAAAAATCCAGTTCTGCATTTACAGATCATAAACCAGTCTTTTAAAAGTGTGTGTACACACACACACACACACGTATATATACTGGTTTATGATCTTTTCAAAAATCTATACACAGGTATGTATATATATATATATATATAGAGAGAGAGAGAGAGAGAGAGAGAGAGAAACAAATACAATACTCGTCAACATCTATACAATGGTTGTACCTGACTGTTTCCTCCTTTCACCCATCCCATTATAGTGACTTCCCATGCTTTGGGTTAGAGACAGTCATGAATAGTTATGTTCTTCCTTCCTATGACAATATTTTTCCATTCTTCTTTCTGGTATGGTAGTTATTATTTAAAAGTTCCATTCAAAAATTCAAAAGGAATTGTATGTGTTACGATCTTCTGTCAATCAGACTATATATGTTCTTCAGTGAGCCCATTCACACAATTATAGCACTAACTGGGCCACTTCCAGCCCAGACTGTATTTGTACTCATCCCGTCTGATCCTTTCCGTCTCTGCTCCAGAACAGCAGCAGAGAGGTGTACCAGAGGGGGAAAACCCATATACTGCTGAAGAAAATGGGATGGAGGGCAGCAGCAATACGAGAGGCTGGTAGAATAGTCCAAATCAAAGGTAGGGAACAGATGTCCACTACAATTTGCACTAACATTAAAAAAATCTAAAAAGACAGGATGAAGCCAATATATGTTATGGATCACGCACCTCTGATGTACATAAGATTTTTTAAAAATGTTACAAGGGCAGCATTATCAACATCCCACTTTAGATGCACCCACTGAACTTCTATAAAGCAGGGAAGGTTATAGGGACTGCTTAATCTACAGTGTATGAATACATTCCTCCACATGCCTGCAGTGTGCATGAACATGTAAAGGAATGTGCACATGACAGGTGCAAAATGCTGGCACAAATGCCATGTCCCTTTCCCAATGCAGACTCAGTAGCCACAGAGAAGAGCCCTAAATGTCTGAACAGAACTGAAATTAACTGTTTCAGATTTTGCCATGGAAATCAGGGCTACTTTATCCTTAAAAGTCATTTTCAAAGCCTATCACAATGAATTTTAATATCTGAGCATTAGTCAGGAGCCGGCCAAACTGCTGATCTAAAGGTTGGTGGTTCAAATTCGCGAGACATGGTGAGCTCCTGTCTGTCAGCTCCAGCTCCTCATGCGGGGGCATGAGAGAAGCCTCTCACAGGATGGTAAAACATCTGGGTATCCTCTGGGTAACGTCCTTGCAGACGGCCAATTCTTTCACACCAGAAGCAACTTGCAGTTTCTCAAGTCGCTTCTGACATGGAAAAAAAAGTCCGATGTCTTGCCTCTCTTGTTTGCGACAGTCTTAATGAGATATAACATTATATGGATAGGAATTATAGTCAGAAAGTGCTTTTTTAACTGTTGTTTCAGTCACATTAAAGATATAATACTGTACTTAACGAATATGACCTAAAAGCAAAAGGAAGCAGAGTCTTGGCAGTTGCTGGATAGAAGCTCATTATCCATCAATCCCATTGATTCAGGATATGCATTTTTGTTAGGGTTAGCAACTGAACTTAGCCCCTTTAATCCAGAAGTAAATATTGCAAATGTTAAAGTTTATTGTTCCCAATAAAATGAAGTTCCTTAAAAGAGATATTGACAAGTTGGAAGGTGTCCAGAGGAGGGCAACTAAAATGATCAAAGATCTGGAGACCATGAATCCCTATGAGGAACATCTTAAAGATCTGGATATCTTTAGCCTGCAGAAGAGAAGGTTGAGAGGAGACATGATGGCCATGTGTAAGTGAAAAGGTGTCATAAGGAAGAGAGAGCAGGCTTATTTTATGTTGCCCTGGAAACTAGGACTCAGAGCAATGGGTTCAAATGACAGGAAAGGAGATTCTACCTGAACATTAGGAAGAACTTCCTGACTATAAGAGCTGTTCAGTAATGGAACTCTCTGCCTTGGAGTGTGGTGGAAGCTCCTCCCTTGGAGGCTTTTGAACAGAGGCTGGTTGGCCATCTATCAGGGTTGCTTTGATTGTGCATGGCAGGGGGGTGGACTAGATGGCACATGCGATCTCTTTCATATCTATTATTCTACGATTCTATGATAAAATGAAGGCCAAACCGTTACATCGCAATACCATGAGACACCATTTGGAGCTTCGACCCCAGATAGGCCATTCCTAGTAAATATGCTCCTTTGCACATTTTAATCACAACATGTGCAAAATGTTATTTGCTACACAATTCTTCCAATTATCATGTTCCACACAACTAGGGAACTGAATGCTGCAGCTGATGCCTTAAATATGTCTCAAGTTCAAAAATGACGTATGTTTCTCCAGTACAATAGTTAGGAGCCCCTGGTTGCGCAATGGGTTAAACCCTTGTGCTGGCAGGACTGCTGACCCAAAGGTCAGAGGTTCAGATCCGGGGAGTGGGGTGAGCTCCTGCCTGTCAGCTTCAGTTTTCCATGCAGGGACATGAGAGAAACCTCCCACAGGATGGTAAAACATTCTACAGGTTTGTCTAATCTTTTTTTATGTGATCCCACTTCCACTCTTAGACTGAGATAGACAATTGAGAGTGAATACCTCAAGAAGGAAGTAAAGATTAAAATACATAAGAACTACATGGTGTAGGGTTCCACAGTCCTGAACATTCCTGCCCTATACTGAAAATCAACAACCTCAAGATAACAAACCAAATAACAGCCATGAACTAAGTCTTGCTATGTTGCTTAATTAAAAGAGGACGAGCTTTTACTCCAGTGCCAATATGTAGGTCCAAAGCGGGAAGGGAGGAAGAAGAGTCAGGCATTCTTTTCAAAGACTATTTTCCTGCTGGGATTATGTTCTATTCGTGTTAATTGTTATTCCAACTACAACCACCCTAGTTTCAAACCAGTCTCCAATGCTGCTGGTGAAAACCAACATCGGTTAATTTCAAGCAGTATTTGCTCATCTCATTAAAAAAACTTTAACACCCTAGCTTTTTTGATAAAGCATAAATAACACTTCATGCTAACCTCTCTTCAAGAAGGAAGAAAATGTTTCTTTTTCTTAAAAAAGAAAGAAAGCTCACATTCTGTCAAGTCCCGTTATAGTGCACACTGGACTTCTCCCAAAAAATGAATGAGAGCAAGGCCTTTGCGAGTTTAAAAAAGGTTTCTTTTCCCAGTTTATATCTGGTGTAATTTTGGGCTGATTGGGGTAAACCCAATCAACCCTTTTCAATTATGGCCAATTTTGGGAGATGATCCTCATCACACTAAAATCCAATTAAAATCCAATTTCTGCCTCCTGCAGAATGCTGGGGTTTGTAGTTTAGGGAGAAGCCTTTAACAGCCTCACTAAACTACAAACCCCAGAATTCTCCAGGATGCAGAAATTGGATTTTAAGTGGATTTTTTCCCCCTCTAGTATGATGAAGTGTGGTAAGTATTTAAAGTATATGGAGGATTCGGGGAGCAATACTACAGTTTGCAGTGGTTTTCAGTTTGAGAAGAGGAATTGGAGAATGGGAAACAACCTGGATTGTTTCTGTTTTGTTTTTAAACTAGATACAGTATTTTTTAAGAGAGGCAGTGTGGTGTAGAGCCATGGAAGCCCAGTGGGAGACTTTGGGCAAGTTACACTCTCTCAGTTTTAGAAGAAGACAAAGGCATATCCTTTCAAAACAAATCCTGCCAAGAGAACTCAGTGACAGGTTTGACTTAGGATTGCCGCCCGCAAGTGAGAAATGACTTTAAGACACACAACAGCAATGAGGACTTTGGCTCATGGATGAGACTTCAGG